CAGTGGAGCCCCCGAGAGGGCTCAGCCCCCGTCCAGGCTGCTGTAGCAGGATGCCCGAGACTGTGGGGCTGAAGCAACAAACCTTCATTCTCACAGTTCTGGAGGCTGCGAGGTCCAAGACCACACCTGAACAAGTTGCTTCTCCTCTCTGGGCCTCCGTTTCGGGACCTGCCAAATGGGGATGATAAGAACACTTGTCCTGCCCGCTCCTCAGGGCAGCTGGGAGGGTGAGCTGAGGCCATAAAGGAAAAGAAAGCCATCCTTTCCTTCAGGCGCTTCCTGTAGGTCTCCGGGAGGGGATGCCAGGGAGGAGGGGGCGCCGAGGCAGGGCGCTGTCTCCGTGGCCTGGGCAGTCTGTCCTAGCGGCCTCAGAGCAGCCCAGCTCAAGGCCCCATTCCAAATGGGTGTAAGTTCAGGGTTCACTGGTCCTGAGAACTGGGGAAGGTGGACTCCTTGAGGGGCTAGGAAAAGGAGAGCAATGAGTAGGTGCCCGGGAAGATGGAGCTGGACGCCCTAGTGCATGAGGAGGGCTGAGAACAGATGTAGCAAGAGGTGCTCCGCCTTCTGGAAAGCACAGTGGTTAAGAGCAGGGCTCAAGGTCTGATCATCCTGGGTGTGAATTGGTCACCAGCCTCGACAGTAGCCTCTCTTCCTTGCCTTCACATGGCGGGGGGGGGGGCGGTCACAGCAGCACCATTCCCAGGGCTTCCTGGGGACGTGTGAGCTAATGCAGTGAAAGTATTTATATAGCATTTGGGCTCTTGTGTGCACCCAATCAATTATTATTTATCACCCGGAATTAAAACCAATGGAAAGTATAACTCGCTGCAGACCTAAGAAGCAGCCGGAACCAGTGCAGAAGGCTGGGGGGGGCGGGCAGCAGGGTGGACGCCGTTGCTGCCTTTGACCTGCAAATGTGACTCTGAGCTTCCTTGTGGCCACGTCAAAAAGGGAAATGTGATCAGTTGTTGAACTCGAATTATTAAGAATGAGGAAACAGCCCAGTGCCTCAGGGGAAGCAATGTTGTTCTTTACCCTGGATTCTCCTGGGCACTTCTCACTGAGCAGGGGGCTTCACAAAGGGCACCTGAGAGAGGCAGTGGGTGCGCCGTGGCTCATGGACTGGGATACACACGGCATCGCAGGTATGATTTTCACGTGGAGCCGAGTCTAGGCATCTTGAAGGAAAGATGAAGGGGAACCTGGCAGGGTGTGGCTCAGGGAAGGCAGCTCTGTAGGAGGATCCAGAATGTGACGAAGGTCTGAGCTCTCCGGCTTCAAAGCTAAGGCTTAAAGAGCTCCAAGGGGTGAGTGGCGGGACTGGGGACTGCTTAATCCCTCAGGGAAGCAGGGGGAGCCCAAGACACTGCTCACTTGAGGTCCTTGGAGGTCCGAACTTCCCACCTGTGTGGCCTTGGGCAAGTTGCTTCACCTCTCTGAACCTCCATTTTTTGCACCTGCAAGTTAAAGTTACCCCTTCAGGGCTGTCGGGAGCATTGCATGGAGCCTGGCCGAGCAGTGCTGGGCATATACTGAGCACTCAAATAAATGTTGGCTCTGTGTATATACACATAGAATGGATCTACAGTTATACTTTCTTCAGGAGCTTCCTGATTACTTATTTAAGGAACACAACTAGAACTTTATACTTCTTTTTAATTTACAGTCGGCCAAGGGTTCGTTGTCTCTTTACCTGACCTTCCCAACAACACAAGGGAGGCATTCTTACCCCTATTTGAGAGGCGAAGAGATTAGAGCAGCTTAGAGAAGCAAAATCCTTGCCTGTGTCACCCTTGATCCGCCCTTGAACCCAGAAGTGGGAGATAAGTGGGCAGGACTCAACTGGTCCTGTGGCCTTCCCGGCCCCTCCTCCCTTCCCAGGCCAAGTTCATTTTAGGAGGGCCTTAAGAGTAGAATCCTGGGGCATAGCAACAACGGGAACAGCACAGGGCTTGCCCTGTTCTAAGAACTTTACACATGACTTTCAAGCCTCACAGCCATCCATGAGTTAAGAGACTGTGAGGATCACACCCGTTTTACAGATCAGATAACCGAGGTGCAGAGAAGCTAACTGACTTGCCCGTGCTCACAGGAGGTTCGTGCAGACCCAGGATTTGGGAGCTGGCAGCCTGGCCAGGCCCCAGCGTCTGTGTCCTTGACCCCTCCGCTGTACCGCCAGGGCTAGCGCAGAAATGGGCTCAGGCAGGAGGGATGTGGGTCGGGACAGGCCGAGGGCGGGCGTGTGATGAAACGCTCTCCCGGGAGGGCTGAGGGGCTCAGGGGGAGGGCACAAGCCAACTGGGGACACTGACTCACTCGATTCCTAGTCGGCCGAGGGGCTGGATGGATGGACATGCCCAGAGGAAGTCAGCGCCACCTTGTGCCGCCTCAGCCTGCCCGCCCCCCGCCCTGCTCACAGATGAGAAGACATGGCCTCTGACCCCGAGCTGCTCCCGGCCCAGCCAGAGAGCCAGACGTGACGTTATCTGTGTCCAGGGCATCTCTGCAGACGCTGTGCAAAGTGCTGGATCCCCACTCCTCTTCACTCTCCTCTTGGGGCTCAGACCGCCCCCCCCCCACCGCCACCGCCACCGCCACCGCCGACAGCCAATGAAGGAGGCATGCTGGGGGCCCGGGGAGACGATCCTGCCTGCTCCAAGAAGCGTAGGACTGATGCCCAGGCCGGGGGCCACCCCCTCCAGCCTGCTTCGGGCTTCCTGGCCTTGCTCCGGCCCCAGTGCACCTCTGTCCTGTGCCTTGTGACTGGCTGTGAGCTCCTGTGGGAAGGGACCCTAGGGAAGCCATTTCCTCATCCCTGCAGCCTGCACGGCCCGGCGTAGGGAATGAGGACATAGTCATTTTGTTCTCAAGGAGACGCTTGGTGACTGTCATTGAACCATGATTTCAGGGGCAGCATGTAGGGTTGGTGAGAGCCCTTGTTCCGCAGACCTGGTCATGACCACCAATCATATTTCCCCCCAGTTGTGGGGGTGGGGCATGCTGTTCCCATCTGCTCTCTGCATTCCAGGGGTCACAGGAAGCCCCGGGGGACCCCTCACTGGGCACATCTGGACTATCTTCCCAGCCTGCAGAAGTAGGATGATACCCAAGTGAGGTGACACTTGAATTCTGAGTCCCTTGAACCCAGAATGATGCTCAAGGGGCTTGTCCAAGTGGCTTTTATTTAATAAAAGCAAAAGATGACTTTTCTGCCATAAAATACAACCTCAAGGCCATTAAGGACCAGCAGGGCATTCCACAGTGGAAGTTGAGTTATTTATAATGAAGCATCGATCAGCAGTCTCGGGAGCTGAACATCTGGTTTGGAGGCCATGTGTCAGGATGGGAAGAGCTTGGGTGGTGGAAGGTGCCTGGGCGTCAGGATGTCAGAACCCCGTGTTCAAATCCCATCTTGGAATTCAGTGGTTTCCGCCCCCCTCCCCAACCCGGGCCCTAACGGAATCACTAATATTTTTTGACGATTTATTGTGCGCCAGCACCGAACTGATGCGCCATATTCCCGGGGCCTGAGATTTTTACATCCATTCTGCAAAGGAGTGAGTATCCCCATTTTATTGATGAGGAAGCAAAGGCTCAGAGAGGAGTCATGGATCCAAAGCCACACAGCTGGCAGGTGGTTGAGGTTGGGTTTGAACCATGCCCGCAGGCGCGCCTCCAAGACCTCCCAAGCTTGCCAACTCCCCGGAATCTCAGTGCATTCCTCCTTAGATTGGGAAAATCCCCAACAAGGTTGTTCTGCGAATTGGCCCAAGTACCACTTAAGTTGCCTGGCACATGGTAGGTGCTCAGTGAATGTATTCGTGTCCGTCTCCTCCCCAGGCTGTCGCGCCGGCGGGTCTGCATGTGATCCACAGCCCCCACAGGGCCCGGGCAACACCCAGGGGGAAGGAGGCTTCTCTCTCTGGGCCTCGGTTCCCCAGATCCAAAACGGGAGTCACCACACCTGCCTCAAAGAGGCCCTGGGAAGACAAGACGAGGGGAGTAGTGAGTGTTCAGGGCCATTCCTCTTCTGTCTTCCCAGTAACTGGAATGGTGCTTTCTGGGGCTGTCCTGGCAGGAGACTTGCATGGAGCTATCCGCACACTGCCCCCCGCCCCGCACCCCCTTCCCCCCGTGCCTTCCCCTACCCCTGCCCCTGATGCAGGCCCTCCTCTGTGGATGTGCTTGGGTGGGGCAGGGGTTGGGGTGAAGGTGCCGGCAGTTCATTTGGGTTTGAGGGGCTCCACCACTCCCCAGCCTCCGCCCTTGGGCATCACTTAGCCTTTCTGAGCCTCTGCTTCCTCCTCTGTAAACTGGGAGCGGTGACAACAGATCCGATCTCTGGCTCTATCCCTGGATCGAACCACTACCTCTCTGTCCTTTCCTGCAGGTGTTTCTGGCTGTGCCCAGGGACTGACTGGCCAAGGACCCCCGTCGGAGAGCCTTGGACACCCTAACAGTGAACGGTGAGGGTCTTCTGTGGTCTGAACAAATGTCTCCAAAGGGCACTGGTGGGGGACCCGTGACGAGGTGGAAGCACTTGGAGAATGCCAGCACGGGGTTTGGGAAACATGGCTGGAAGCAAGTTCCCAGCACTACCGCACCCCTCCTTCATTGCACCATCATTGCGATTTTACCATGAATTGAGGAATCTGATGAATGTTCGTTTCCCTCACTAGACTGTAAGGGGAAGGGGAGGGTCCCAGAGAGGCAGCAAAACAGGGTTGTCAGGAGAACAGACTCTGAAGGAGGGGTGTGGCTCCCGGCTCCGCCTCTTCTCCATTGTGTAACCTCGGGCCAGTGACTCAGGCTGTCTCCACCTCAGCTTCCCTGTCTGTAAAATGGGGGTTGTAGTTAAGTAAGTACTTAAGCCGTCAAGATACCAAACTGGCCTGGCTCAGAGTCAGGCAGAACCCTGTCGGCCTTGCTGGAGTTGGCCAAGCTCTTAGAGCCAGTCCCCTCACGCTTCCCCTACTGACCCCTGTCTCCCTTCGCAGAGAATGGGCGACGAGGATTACAACACCTCCCTCGCCTATGATGACTACTCGGATGATTTTGACCCCATTATGGTCTTGGAGGAGTCTTCTCCCCTGGAAGGCAAGGTGGCCAGGATCTTCCTGGTGGTGGTCTATAGCATCGTCTGCTTCCTCGGGATCCTGGGCAACGGGCTGGTGATCATCATCGCCACCTTCAAGATGAAGAAGACGGTGAACACCATCTGGTTCCTCAACCTGGCCGTGGCGGACTTCCTGTTCAACATCTTCCTCCCGATCCACATCACCTATGCTGCCATGGACTACCACTGGGTCTTCGGGACAGCCATGTGCAAGATCAGCAACTTCCTGCTCATCCACAACATGTACACCAGCGTCTTCCTGCTGACCGTCATCAGCTTCGACCGCTGCATCTCTGTGCTCCTCCCCGTCTGGTCGCAGAACCACCGCAGCGTGCGGCTGGCCTACGTGGCCTGCATGGTCATCTGGGTGCTGGCTTTCTTCCTGAGCTCTCCGTCCCTGGTCTTCCGGGACACAGCCCACGTGCATGGGAAAATATCCTGCTTTAACAACTTCAGCCTGTCCGCAGCCGGCTCTGCCCCGTGGCCCGCTCACACCCGCCTGGACCCCGTGGGCTTCAGCCGGCACATGGTGGTGACCGTCACCCGCTTCCTCTGTGGATTCCTGGTCCCCGTGCTCATCATCACGGCCTGCTACTTCACCATCGTCTGCAAGCTGCGGCGCAACCGCCTGGCCAAGACCAAGAAGCCCTTCAAGATCATCGTGACCATCATCATCACTTTCTTCCTCTGTTGGTGTCCCTACCACACGCTCTACCTGCTGGAGCTCCACCACGCCGCCGTGCCCGGCTCCGTCTTCAGCCTGGGTCTGCCCCTGGCCACGGCCATCGCCATCGCCAACAGCTGCATGAACCCCATTCTGTACGTCTTCATGGGCCAGGACTTCAGAAAGTTCAAGGTGGCCCTCTTTTCCCGCCTGGTCAACGCTCTGAGTGAGGACACGGGCCACTCCTCCTATCCCAGCCACAGGAGCTTTACCAAGATGTCGTCGATGAACGAGAGGGAGACCAGCATGCTTTGAGGCTCATCTGGGAGGCCCGATGGACAGACGCTCCGGCCTTGGAGGCCCTGAGCTCTGCCTTCTCAAGACCAGGGCAGAAACCTCTTCAGGACCCACTGATGCCCGCTGTAGTCTGCACGGGGCTGACCTGTGTTTTGAGCTGGGAGTCCAGGGCCTGGAACTCCTTTCTTTGAGTGGCCCGGTGGACAGGGCATGCCGTGTCCTCTCAAGCTTGGACTCTCTCTGTGAGGACCTGGGGCCTGGGGGAGGCGGGGGAGGGAGAAGAGCTAAGGCCCTCAAAGGAGGCAGCCTGAAGGAGCTCACCCTCGAACTCCCCAGGGTGATGGTGCTTTGGGGGCCACGGCTATTTGGGGGATGAGGGTGGTGCCAGCCCCTCGCCCCAGGACCCCGCTCTCCCCTTGCCTTTGTCGCCTGAGGTCCGGGTCATGGCGGGCAGCGTCACCCACAGCTTCCACCCCGTCCGCGGGGACTGTCCCTTCCTTCCCTGGTCCACTGGCTCTGACTGCCGGTGCTCAGAATTAAGCACACCAGGTCAGGGGGCCAGGGAAGGAGGGCCTGTCCTCCTCAGCTTCCTCAAAGCCTTGCCAAAATCAGCTTCAGGAAGCAACCTGGGAGCGTCCTGCCGGTTGAAGAGGAGGTCCAAGGGCTCGGTCACTGAACTCAGCAGAGCCTGCAGCCTGGGCCCTTGTCGTGTGCCTCTGAGATGCAGGCGGTGGGGACGCCACAGGCGTGGAACCCCTCCACGTGCAGCCCTGTTGCCTTTTCTCAACGAGGACTGACACCTTCCTGTGCTACAGTGTCATTGTGCCACTTAGAGATGACAAAGCCGAGGCTCCGTGGGGGTGGGGCGGGGAGTAACTCACTCAGCGACGCGCAGCTAGCCGGAAGCAGAGTTAAGATGTGAACCCAGCTCTGTCTGGCTCCAGATCCTCTGTTTTTTTTTTAATGACGAATGTATCCATTGAGAATATTCTAGACTCTCATGATAGCCTGCATTTATTAGCACCCTTTACCCTAAACACTGTCCATGTATTATCTCGTGTATTCCCCCTGGCAGGCCTGAGTTCGGTACAGTTAGTACTGCCCTTCTACATATGAGGGATAGCTGAAGCTCAGAGAGGTTAAGTAACTTCCCTGAGGGCATCCAGCAGGTCTCTGCCGGAATCTGGATTTGAAACTAGGTCTGCCTGGCTCAAAGAAAGCTGCAGAATCAGGGTTTGGAGAGAGGCTTGGGGTTTTGACCATAAATACTGATTCCTCGGCAGATTAATATAAACCTCTTAATAGCCCATAAGCCAGCCTTGCAAATAGTTTTCCAAAATGACCCAACATGGCAAAGAAAGTACACTTGGCCTCCAGTCCCCTGATGCCCGTCCACTCGTGCCCACCATGTTTCCCATCTGCTGCACCCCCCGAGACCTCCAGGGAAGGCGGTGGGGGTACAAAAGCTGGGCCGGAGGCAGTCACTGGTGGGCCCGAGGCCCTCTGGCCTCTGAGTGTCCACATTCTCTTGTCTTCCACGTGTTGTTGTTGTGAAGCCAATTCCCTGACAAGATGCAATGAACAGATGTAATGTCTACACAGCGCTGGGCAGGTTCCCGAGGCCACGGGCTGTTTGGAAATCACACCTCATTAAGAGACAGACTGTTCCTTCCCTCCGTGGGTCATTGTGCTTATGATGAGGCAGCTCGGAATTGACCCCAAGTCTGGGCATCCAGTGGCTTCAAGAAATCTAAACTTGGGCCATTGGAGAGCAAAAAACGGAGCTTGAAAGATTGCCCAGTGCTCCTTGTCACCTCCCACCGCAGCGGCACAGGTGAAGTGGCTAAGGCATGAGACTGCGTGGGATGTCAGGCCCCAGAGACGGTCCTCAACCACCCAGGCTCTGAACCCCAGGTGCTGCTTGCTCGGGCTCGGGCCCTCGCTCCTCCTGGGCTGCAGGCCGGCCGGGCCGGGCCAGGGAGCCAGGAAATCATTTTGTCCTTGGAAAAGCTGATGAACAGGAGTAAAATTCAAACCAGCTGTTTCCTCCTTAGGGTCAGGCCTCTTCCTGGCTGCCCCACCAGGAGTTTCTCATTAAATCCTGAAATGCAACCATGACATCCTCCTGCATCTTGTCCTTGTTAAGGACAAAGTTGCTTTTGAATAAAGAGACTGAGGTGAGAGCGGGGCACTGAGCTGGACGTTCCTGCCCCCCAAACCCCTTTGCCTTCCTCCTTCATCTCAGAACAGCAGGCCAGGCTCAGAGAAGTGCAGCGTGCTGTCCGAAGTCACATAGCAGTGCTGGAAGGCAGCAGCAGGAGGAAGCCTGAAACTCCCTACCAGTCCCCAAATTTAGGACTTCAAAGAATCTGCATTTTGAAAAGCATTCCCTCCACTTACTTCAATTTCTTCGCAGCCGAGGACAGTAGGTTGTTAGTAACCGACTCAAGACATCCCCCACCCATCCACCCCAACATCCAGCCACCCACCCGCCCATCCAGCCATCTACATAACCATTTCTATACCCACCCATTCATCCATTCCATAAAAATCTATTTACTACCTTCTCTTTGCCACTGCTGCGGTAGGCACCGGGAATGCAAGGGTGAGCAGGGCATACACAGCCTCTGTCCTCAGGAGCTCCTCCATTGGTTAGTGGGAGAGACAGCCAGTAGTTTTTTAAAAACCGCACCCTTAATAGAAAACTGCCACGCTAAGCGCTACACCCCTATTGTAGAGAGATCTGAGCCTGTCCAAAGACCAGGGAAACCTCCTCGGGGAGGAGACGCGTGAGTTGAGATGTGTAGGATGGGTAGGTGCTGATTCGGTGGCAGGAGGGAGGGGGGGAAGCGGGAGAGGGTGCTCCAGGTGGCCGGAAGAGCACGGGGGAGAGAGTGATGGCGAGGGACTGAAGAGGATGGAGGCTGCCGCCGAGGGAGTAGAATGAAACCAGAGCAGACAGGATGGAGAAGAGAGCAGGGGAGGCCGTGGGCAGGGCAGGCCACGCTCCGATCTGCATCTTGCCATGATGCCCAATGCCCGGGGCTACTCTGGGCAGGGCAGGGTGGGAAGGGCCGGAGGGGAAGCCGGGAGGATGGGAGCAGAGGTAGAGCTCCAGAGAAGTGGACTATTCAGGAGATACTTAAAAGCTACCCAAGCTTTCTCAGGGGAGCCGTTAGCGGGAAGCCAACCCAGGGCCCATTTCAGCTGCACAGAGGCCTCGGTGCGTTGCTTTATTGATGGAAATTAATTGTAAATATTATTCAAATTTACCTCCCAGCGCACAATTACATTTCTCAGGGGAGCCCTCTGAGCACATAATAAAGCCCTATAAATAATACATATATTAACCTAAGAGGAACGGAGGCATATTAATGTGCACTTGTGGGCGGTGGCTGGGGGGAATTTATGCAGACAAGACGCTAAGTGCTTGGACCAGGGTTTGACTTTGGAAGTCACCCGAGCTCTGTCCCGGGGAGCTTCCGGAAGTCTCTCCCCCCGGGGGGGCAGCCAGTTACTGCCCAAAGGCCTGGTCAATGGGCAGGTGCGGGCAAGGAGACAGGTAGTCAAGGGTGCAGGAAGCACAGGTGCATTGGATGCTTATCTTGTGCCCAAAGCTTCAAGAAAGCGCGACCCATAATAATAATAGTAGGTCATATTAATTGAGCATGCCCGGGGTTTGGGTATCCTCCAAGTGCTTTGGCTTCATTAATCTCATTGAATCCTTACGACAAACTTTGTGGTAGCAGCCATCCCTATCCCCTTTCCCCATGAGGAAATGAAGGTTCAGAGAGGTGCAGTGTCTTGCCCAGCGTCACACAGCTAATAAGTGACAGAGCTAGGATTCCAACCCAAGTGTGTTTGACTCGAAAGCAACTTGGAAACACAGACTGTCCTCTAACGAGACTCCTCCCTGGAGAGAGGTAGGCAAGCATACGCTCTCTGTCCAGTGTCAGATTTTAAGGAGGTGGAAACCAGGGGTGGGGGGATCTGACGGATTGCTTTTTCCTCTCGGAGGAAGGAAATGGTGTCTGGATGGGCTTGTCATTTCCTCACAGCCCTAGGAATCTTAAAAACCACATCCCTTCCCATCCCCCCCTCCTTTTACAGACGGTGAAACTGAGGTTCTTTGCAGATCAGAATGGGACCTCCCAGCTCCCTGACTGTTGGGACATGAGCTGCGTGGGAAAATGCCCACGTGAGCCACTTTTCTGAGCACCGCTGTTCTAGAACAGACCTGGGCGTTCACCGAGCTGCCAGTTTGTCAGTAAGGGCTTTGGTGCTGAGCTGCCCCGAAGGACCCCTGCTCGGGATCTGGGCAGGGGGGCGTCATTGGGGCATTTCCAGCGGAATCCTATAAAGGGAAAGCAGGGGACCTTGGGAAACCCTGGTACAGGGCAGAGACAGGCCATGTTTGTTATCCCCCACAGTTGTCCTGCATAGGGGTGACGATGCGCTCTATCTGGATCTAGGTGGTAGGTACGTGGCTATCTTCATCAAACCATCCATCATTTGCCTATACAAATATGATTATTGCACTTTACTGTAGTAAGTTAGGCCTCAATAAAAGTATTTTGAAAAATAAATTTTAAGAAAATGTAAAATTTATGAACTAATTCATGGTGCCTTCAGGAGGGACTCCCCACTCCCTTTGGCACTCTGAACAGAATCAGATTCAAGAGAGCAAGTCAGGGGGAGACTACGTAGTCTCAGCAGGGTCCATCCAGGGAGGCAGCATCTCAGGAAGGACTGAGCCTTCCCAGGGGTCACCCCAGCCCTGTCCCCATAGCCTTTGATGGCTACGACAGGGTCATGTGGACTCAGGTGTCAGAATGCTTGGGCTTGAATCCCAGTTCCACCATTGACATCGGCTAGGGTTAGGGCTTCGGTTAAGGCTCTATGACTCGGACAAGCTGCTCAACATCTCCAAAGCTTCAGTTTTCTCATCTGTAAAATGGGTATAAGAAGAATCTGCAGCTCACGGGGTTGCCATGAGGATTCAAGATGTCACACACAAGCACTTAGCAGGTGCCGGGCTTGCATACACCACCCACTTTCATCTGGAAGTACGTCAGCCTCCTCCCTGGTCTCCGTGCTCCCAGCCTTGCCCCCCACAATCCACCCTCCATGAAGCAGCGGGAGTGAGTTTCCATCACGGAGCCCAGCAATCCAAACCCCTTACGGGGGCTTGCGAAGTCCTAGAGGATTGACACTGCCT